TGTCAAATTATGATGTGAGGAGTTCTTCGTTCGAAAACCCAAGGACTGGTATCACCACCAAATTCAACTTCTGGCAGGAACATGGGTTAAAGTAGTTGATAATTATTTAGAGATTGTGAGATACCGTCTGGTGTGATGTAGGTTTAGAAAAACGTTTTCTTTATCGTGCCAACGTTTCGATCATTATTGAGATCATCTTCAGGGTAGAGTCGGCTTCTTTGAGGTGAAAGGGACCGACAATGAACAAAAAGGGGTTATAGTTTGTCGTTTTGTCCTGTTAGCCTTTCAGGATTATTAAAGACGGGATTATTAGGGAAAGGAGAGATAAAATGTTGAAGATTTAGACTATGTAGAATTGTTTGATGTGTGGGGTGTAATGATTGTTTTATATGTTGTATTATATGTTTGGTGTGTTATACAGGGTGAGTCAATTTTCGGTGCACCATAGGAAAATCAACGTTGGTGTGTCTAATTATGACTCGGCAGATTTTATTTTGTTGGTCTCCTACCAAAAAATAGGCGAGTCAGTTTTCGACACACCATTCGTTAAAAATTAGTTTTAGTGAGTTGGAAGGAAAATAAACAAAACCAATATTATTAAAACATTCAAACACAATGTAAAAATTTTTAAAAAAAATTCTTCACAAATTAATTTGATTAAGGTTTAAGAGTATTTTTTTCATCCGATCATCGTTTTACGATAGACTAGGCTACTGTGTTGCACCAAATGGAGGACAATTATTATAATGATTTTGAACATTTTTGGTTTGCTAACAAAGGAGATTGTTACATTTATTTAATTTTTTACTTTACCAGAAAAAAGGAGATTGTTACATTTATTTAATTTTTTTACTTTGCCAGAAAAAAATACTCTTAAATCTTAATCAAATTAATTTGTGAAGAATTCTTTTTGTAAATTTTTACATTGTTTGAATAATGTTTTAATAATATTGGTTTTGTTTATTTTCCTTCCAACCTACTAAAACTAATTTGTAACGAAAAGTGACTCGCCTATTTTTTGGTACGAGACTAACAAAATAAAATGTGCCGAGTCATAATTAGACACACCAACGTTGATTTTCCTATGGTGCACCGAAAATTGACTCACTTTCTTTTATTAACGTATTAATCAAAGGAAATAAACCTCGAGTCAGATTTAAACGCACCAACGTTGATTTTCCTATGGTGCACCGAAAATTGACTCACTTTCTTTTATTAACGTATTAATCAAAGGAAATAAGCCTCGAGTCAGATTTAAACGCACCCACGTTGATTTTCCAATGGTGCACCGAAAATTTACTCACTTCCTTTTATTAACGTATTAATCAAAGGAAATAAGCCTCGAGTCAGATTTAAACGCACCCACGTTGATTTTCCAATGGTGCGTCAAAAAATGACTCACCTTGTATGTATGTTATTGAATTTGATATTAACGTAGCTGCGAATTAGTTTACATCTGTCTATTCTGTAAATGATGATGTGCTTGATTGTGATGTAAATCATTTCTAAAAGGTTAGGATTGTTTGTTTTGTTCTGTGTTTAATATTTTTGGATTGTTGTAATCGAAGTTGTATTGGTGTTCAAAATGGTGGTTAGACAGTGCTGTAGAATTTTATTTGGTTTTTTTGCAGTCATAGATATGTTGCTTTACTCTCTTATGCAGATATTGGGATGTAATTCCGATGTAAGACAACCAAGCTCAACAACAATTGATATCTGTAAAAGTTTGCTTCAAAATCCAAAAGACGAGCGATGAAAAATTGACATTTTAAAAAAATTCCTATGCGCCGAAAACAGTGGGTACCACAAGGCCAAGAGGTACAAGCAGAGGTTCGCCAAGATCGATTTGGAAAAAAGATAAAAGAGAAGTACCCTGGTTTGTCGGGATAAAGCGATATTTCAGCCAGCCAACGCTCCTGTCCTTAATTAATGATGATAAATTGAGTCTGTCAGCAGAGGTTTTTCCGAATGTCAGTGAAGACCGTCCAATTTTCAAAAAGGTTAATTCGATTTTGTTCAATTTGTTCCGTTTCTTCCGGAAGAAATTTCCGACTGCCACAACTTGCAATGGCTAGTTAACGACGTTTCGTAACGTCCAGGATGTGGATTTTTTCTGATTTCTAACCACGGAGGCCTGTCCGGCCGAATGGCAACAGCCCGTGAAAATGTTCAAAGCGAGGACTATCCTTGTTTAATACATACAGAATTGTAAAAATCAACCTGACATTAACAACCTTACTTCCTGCCGCTTGATCGAAAAGATCAAAAGACTGGGGATCTGCCAAGAACAAGAATAACCAGGGTACACAGAATGTTCATGACAAATTCTCCCTCTCTGGTCAGTAAAACGTCAAAAGAAAAAAAATATTTGGCCTGGTTTCTCAAGAAAACCTGATATGATTCAGAAAAAAACTCAGAAAATTGGATCAACTTTCGCTCTGTCAAAAACCGTAATTGTGAAATTTCAAACAAATTGCTAAATTGGTAAGGATTTACGTCATTTTCAGCAATTCTAGGATACACGTTAAGAATAAATTAATCTTTACGTAATGTATTGGTTGAGATAAAAAAAGTCAGTGTCACGAGCGGGATTCGAACCCACGACCTCCGGCTCTACCACTTGACCTATCGTCACTTCGATCCACTCGGGCACTAACTTCCCACCTCAACAAAACCTTTCGAATTTTCCCTCCTTTTTCATTTTTTTCTTTTTTATCTCAACCAAAACCTTACATAAAGATTAATTAATTGAAAGATCTTATTAGGTCAATAATCGAAATCTAATGAACTGAAGAATAAAATAAGTAAAGAATGAAGATAAAAACAATATTGTGATCTATCATCCCAGAAAAACAACCTCTATAATTGTTATTCATGAACAAGAGTCCATTTTATAATTTTACGCGCGCACGGGTGGCTCTGTGTGTGTGTGTGTGTGTGTGTGTGTGTGTGTGTGTGTTTTTTAATAGCGGGCTACTTACAGAATACTTACCGTGAGCCATGTTCACCACAAGAACGTAAGGATGTACAAACATATCCTACAAAACAATCACTACCCTAAACACATAATCAGCAATGACAACACGTCCTTCAAAAACTATGAAACTATTCACACCCTTTTTTCCAAAATTGAAGATCCCACACTAAACAAATGTGATTAGTGACAGTTAATCGATATTTATTTATAAATCGTGAGATGCGGTCTGGTGTGATGTAGGTTTCAGAAAAACATTTTCTTTATCGTGCCAACGTTTCGATCTTTATTGAGATCANATCCAAAATGTAATTGTTATATGTAAACAATGTTTGTAAATCCCAGGCCCTGAAGATGATCTCAATAAAGATCGAAACGTTGGCACGATAAAGAAAATATTTTTCTGAAACCTACATCACACCAGACCGCATCTCACGATTTATAAATAAATAACTAATAACAAATAAATCTGACGTAATTTACAAAATCAATTGTATAAATTGTCTGGCAACTTACATCGGCATTACATCCCAATATCTGGAAAAGAGGGTAAAACAACATATTTACGGTTGCAAAAAACCCAAACAAAATCCTACAGCACTGCTACCTATTTTGACACCAACACAACTTCGATTCCAACAATCCAAAATATTAAACATAGAACAAAACAAACATAAATGTAACTTTTTAGAAATGGTTTACATCAACAGAAATAAACACAGCATCAATTACAAAACAGACACATGTAAACTCAGCCGCAGCTACGATAATATCATAAGTCAAATTCTATAACATACATGTAACACAGAAAACATATAATACAACATATAAAACAATCATTACACCCCAAACATCAAACAATTCTACATAGTCTAAATCTTCAACATTTTATCTCTCCTTTCCCTAATAATCCCGTCTTTAATAATTCTGAAAGACTAACAGGACAGAACGACAAACTATAGCCCCTTTTTTTTCATTGTCGGTCCCTTTCACCTCAAAGAAGCCGACTCCACCCTGAAGATGTTCTCAATAAAGGTCGAACGTTAGCACGACAAAGAAAATTTTTTCTAAACCTATATCACACCAGACGACCTCAAAATAATTATCAACTACTTTAACCCATCTTCTTGCCAGAGGTTGAATTTGGTGGTGATAACAGTCCTTGGGTTTTCGAACGAAGAACTCCTCACGTCATAATTTGACATCCCCGTAGTTTTAGAAATTCCGGCCTTTCAAAAAATGCCTTTGACCGGAAAAGATTATAGTCAGACGGTGTGACTTCAGGGATTTTGCCAGAGAAAAATTGCTTTAGGCAGGATAACTCTGTTGTGTGAGAGAATGAAGTTTCATGTTTTTCTTACTATTATTTATCTTGTGCTAGGAAATAAGAATGTTTTGGGTTTAAGCCACTTTGGATAGCCTACTAGGATGGTTGAAGACAATTTTATCGAGATACAAACTTCAATATCTCACAGAATTATTCTAAACTTCCTTGTTAAGGTCGATGTAGTGACTGAGCTTAATTGGGTCTTTTCCAATCACACTACCTCGTCTGCCAGAAGCATTACCACACTTTCCCATCTTCATTAGTTAGTCAGGGGTGTAAGCGGGCCAAGAATACATACCACTTCCATTCAAGCAAATTCTCTGGCCTCTATACAGTAGAGTTGTAGAATCATCCTCGCCTTGCTTGTACAAATACTGAGAATTAAAAAATGCTGAAATGCATCTGATAGACAAAACCTGCAAGGATGCTCTGAACGGAAGACTAAGATATCATAAATAAAGTACAGAAAAAATATGGCATGGTTTTGTGTAAAGTTTATCATAGTTTTGATAAAACTTTCTCTCTCAAAAAATTGATTTTGATGGGAAGATAAGTTGGTTTAATTGTTGTTTATTCTTAAGGAACCAACGTGAAAGAGAAAAACTTTTGACTATTGTAATGCAAATTGTACGTTTAAATTGATAAACAAAAATAATTCAGTTGAACTTTCATAATTCTAAGTTTGTAATGTATTTTTAGGTTTAAGCGAGCCGTTATTTGTACCAGAGCAGCTTACCACGCTTCTATCTTTTCTGTACACAAACATACCACCAATCCGAAAAGGTAATGAAAATTTATTTTCATTTATTTTACGTAAAATGAACTATTTTAACGTATTTTTTTAAAGGAACCGACTCGAGAGTGGGCTTTGGTTTTCGGCTAGGGCCAAATGCTGATTTCCAGGTGTTGTTTGAACTGGGACCCCAACAGAACACAGTGCCCTTAGGACCCGACAGTGCGGGCAGTTCCAAAAGGGACACGATCAGTGCGCAAAAACCTCCGACAACCTGGCTCGAAACCTGGCACTCGAAGCAACAGGATGCTAACCAGGAGGATGAGTATGACATGCCAGTCAAAACCGGCTATGTCCTCCCTGACCGGGACATCATCAACCACCTGCGGCAGCTCTACACGACCAAACCTCCTGAGATCGTGCCAGAAGAGAAAGAATTAAAAGCGAATACAACCGGAATACAAACAAACTCATCATCAATTTGAATTTATATCTCTTATAGATTTTTCTCTAGTGTGATAACAAAAAAATGAGAAAAATAAAGACCACCAGTCAGGATTGACTCTGACTGATTATCACACTTGATAAAACTGATTGGTGCGTCTGTATTTCCCAACTAGCCAATTTTCCCCGTCAAGTAAGAATTAATTATAGTACATTTTTTTATACAATGCATTCATTGTTACACTGTACATACTATAAGTGCCTGTAGACTTAAAAAAAATTTTTTTGTCTTTCTAAACAAAGGAATAAGCATTTTTTAATTGCCAATAAATTGAAAAGTATTTATTTTATTTATTGAATTCGCCAAACAGGGCAGAAATACCATCAAAAGACTTTTTTTTAAACTGGTATTGTTTTGTAGATAAGGTTTTATGGTGTAAATATAAACTATTTATAAGTAAGCGTATACTGTTTTCTAAATACCCACCCAAAATTACATATTTCCAAAAGGCAGAGACTGGCCGGCAGGCCAGTTCATCAAGTTAATCCCTACATCTTTCAAGTAATGGACTTATTTGACCCCAATAAATGGAGAAAATGGGACCGTCAAGAAGAACTTCTTCAATGTACCTTAGGTCAGTCAAAGATCCATTATGTATAATAATCATTTCAGTACAGGCATGGACGATGATTCCAACCCATACCGTAACTGTCTCTGAAAAGGCTGTGACTTGAGCATGGCACATGAAGCAAAACATTCTCCATTTCTTCTCTACACAGTGCAGGTCACCTGATAGCCAAACACCAAACCGGTTCTCATTTGTGAACAGCACAGTACTCCCGCCCCATTGTTCAAGTGTCCAAGAGAGATGCTGATTTGAATAAACCTTTCTACTCGATGCCTCTCAAGTAGTAGAGAGCTTGGTTCAGGACGTCTACAGACTAAGATAATCTCATGAAGACTTTTGATAACTGTTTGAGAGGTTTCCCTTCGGATGTTAATATTCGGGTGTTCCCCAGGGCTCGCACATCAGGCCAATTTTATTTTTGATATTCTTCAATGATTTTACGGGTTATTACAAATAGTCATTAGCTGCTTTGTGATCATTTAAAGCTGATTAAAAGAGGTGGATTTTGCGATAGATTGTATTATTTTTCTAGAGGACTTGATTGCATTTAAGAACTGGAACCGATTAAACAAGTTAGATGGTGAAAAGTGTAAATTTATCTGCTTCTCCAAAAATAAGGCTACAAATTCTAATAATACTAACTTTCGCTATACTGTCAATAGAGATATTATTGAGGAAGTCACCAAAATTGCTGATCTCAAAGTTATCTTCAACCCCAATTGTGATCTCCGTGATCACTTTGAAGCCATTATGGAAAAAGCCTGTAGGTTTTATTAAGCGAATGACTGCAGACTTCACCGATCCCTTCACGATCAATGGGACTGTTCGAAATTGGCCACCAATCAAGTATGCCATTAAACAACAGTTCTGTAGTGCGACAAGAGCAATCTCTAGCCAGAAGTACATAGCGGTCGGCCACTACCTTCTTTCCGATCAGTGGGCCTAAACTGATGGTAGTGTGGCACACCCAGGATTTGGTGTAACGATCGTCGCTGGTGAAAGCATTCATCCCGGTTAGAATTTTCTCGACTTAAAACTATGAAAAAGAAATAAAAGATTTTTTTTACTCAAATTTTTTGTTTCATCAAAGAAAACTATTTTAAAAACCAATTAACTCACTAGACAAGTTGGCTTTGGAAAGGATGAAATTGAACTGATTTGTTTTATTTTTAATCTAAAGAGGGTAAAAGGATTAGTAACACACTATAAAGGTAACAATGAGTTATTAAGTTATGTTTATGTTTTAAGTCATCCAACCAGTTATTATGAAAAATAAACAAATAAATACAAGTGTACTGTTTTTGTGTTTGAGTATATTATTGTGATCCGATGATTGTTTTTATATTATATTTATGTTTAAATAAAGTAAGTGAAGCAACAAAAAAAGTCCCTAACTATTACAACAATGATTATTTGGGGATCGTGAGATGTGGTCTGGTGTGACAGGTTTTACAAAAACATTTTCATCATGCCAACGTTTCGATCTTTATTGAGATCATCATCAGTGTTCAGTGTTTATTTTCTGTGTAGATGTGTCATTCTTGTGTCTTCTTCCAGAATGACACATCTACACAGGAAATAAACACTTTGAGCCCTGAAGATGATCTCAATAAAGATCGAAATGTTGGCACGATAAAGAAAATGTTTTTCTAAAACCTACGTCACACCAGACCGTACCTCAAGATCTCCAAATAATCATTGGCTAACGGTCACTAAACACCACACATTACAAACAATATTTTAATCACATGATAATCTGTTTAAAAACTAAAATATGTATTTAAAAAGAAAATATTTTTTGAAAATCGACTGAACATTATCATTGTTTTATATGTTTAAACGATACTTTTTTTCAACAAGTAAAATTATTTATTTTGAAAAGTCAAGAAATAATAGAAGAGAAAGAACATTCTGGATGCTCTGAACAGTTGTCAGTATAGAGAAATACGATTTAATATATCATTTAGGAACCGAACTTAACAAAATTTACAATACCTTCCCCCTGAGAATAAATTGTGAGTAAAATTAAAAAGAGATTATACCACAGCAAAAGATGCCAATTGTTTTAAGAGGATGAGTAAAAAATTGACCATTTCAAAAGTCCAAATATACCCCCATATTTTTTCTAATTCTTAGCAGTACCATGAACTTTTTTTTTCTTTTAACACAGTGATATCAAGCTAGTTCTTCCCCCAGTAAGGTACCACGAGCGTGGTATGATCTGGTCCCTTCACTTCTGAAGTTTGAAGTTCAAACAAGTGTGTTGCATAAAACAGTAAACGGCATTGTTTTTTTTTTAATTTCCCTTTCTCACTAGCACTAAAAAACTTAAACAGCACCCTGCTTAATCTAAAAGCCAAGAGAGAAGAGCACGATATCACACTCTCAGTACTACAGTTGGAAAACATAGAGTGCAATATCACGCTGACCATCCTGAATGGGTTAAGTATGTGGAGTAGTAGGTTGGAAGAGGTCTGAAGGAGCCAAGTCAGGATGGTTGAACATTAGCTCTATGTCAATATTTCTTTTAAAGTATGCACATCTTTCCGATAGAACCCCATCATATATTGTTCAGGTAAATTCAAAAGGCTTTATTTCTGGCAAATTTTCTTTATTTACAGAAGACGCATTTCAATCACTTTGTGAACATCATCATTTATATAATAATTTCTAATATAATAATTAGTTGTACGTAATAATTTCTACTCTGTTTGTGTTCATGAAGGCAGATCATGTGCACAAGGTTAGCGAAAGGCGTCCTCCATAAATAAAGAAAATCTGCTGGAACTAAAAGCTTTTTGAATTTACCTAAGCAATATATTATATCTAGGCATCAATTTTGTAAAAAAATTGCTTTGTATGCTGAAAAGCGACTGTGTCTCTTTCTTTTTTTTTTAAACCCTTTCTTCTTATTCAACAAAAATTTTTTTTTATTCACCAGCACCTTTTCTTCGTTACCCTAAAGAGACTATTTTAAATTCTGTTGAATCAGAAGAATGTTGATACTGTCTACACTGATGACTCAAAAGCGTTCAACAGGGTAGATATACATATTCTTGTAAAAACGCTCAGAGCCTCTGGTATTGGGTATCCCTTTGTAGCTGGTTTGAATCATTCTTACATAATAGATCATTTCCTATCTTCTATAAAAGTGCTATTTTTGATGTGTTTCCTATTGATTCGGGTGTTTCTCAGGGCTCACACATCAGGCCAATTTTATTTTTGACATTCTTCAATATTTCACTAGGGTTATTACAAATAGTCATTAGCTGCTTTCTGATGATTTAAAGCTGTTTAAAAGTGGTGGATTGTGGGATGATTATATTCTTCTTCTAGAGGACCTGATTGCATTTAAGAACTGTGAGTTTTGTTTTTTACGCTGAAAAGTGAGTATATGTGTCTTTTAAACAAAACTGTTTTGTATGGGAGTCTGTGGCCATAACGGTTAAGGACGTACTTACAAATGGGCTTTTTTCAAACACCCTCGAGGGTTCATATAACCTCGTAGTTGAAATACACTCATTAAAAAAAGTCTTGTTATTCACCAAAACTTTGAACCCTTGTTTCAAAACCTCACGTTTTAAAAAAAATTCCAAATAGAGCTCAGAAATTAATCTACATTTTTTTAAACAGATTTTGGACAAGAAACTAGCGATTTGTCCACCAATGTCCAGCATGATACGATGAAAACTTCTCTACAGGTTTTTTTTTCACATTTACAAATTTGTACATGTGACGATTCATGCTTAACGAACTTGCTTGACAGTAGGCAAGTGCTTTTTGTAAGATCAGCTTCTGTAATGCCTAAAGGTGGCCATTCATGATCGCTCCAAACGGAACCGCACCGAGCCTTATAGTTCCATTTGGAGTGCCTGAAATTTGTGGGGGCAATCCCGATCGCTCCACAGCCAGTCGCTCAGAACGTCAACCAGTGAATTACTTCCTCAAAATGGATGACGATCTCTTGTGCTACGCTGCTATTTGTTCATATATAAAAAGCAATAAACCGAAGAGGAAGTGTAAGAATTGGTTCCTGAACAGAACCCCTAATACCCACATCGATTTGATGAAAGATCTTTCCTTTGAACCAGCTGATTGGAGGAACTATTTGAGGATGGATGAAACATCTTATTTATATTTACTCCAGCTTGTTACTCCCGTGATTAGAAAACAAAAGACAGTCATGAGAGAAATCATCACTCCACATGAAAGGTTGGCAGCCACATTACAATTTCTTGCTACAGGGTTGATCTACAAAGAACTAAAGTTCTCTACTCCGATTTCTGCTCAGCGCTTAGGGGTTATCAATACCGCATCTCTCGTTGCATTTGTATCCTTTGTTTTGAAAAGTTTGGTCGAGGACGAATTTCTTTTATTTTTATCGTAGTAATCATTGTCCACCACTTTCCATAAACATGGTAAACTTTTATACAATTCAATCACCTCAACAATAAAATCTCGATTGGATATCATTGCCAATAAAGAATAAACGTTTTTGACTTTTTGAGAATATATGATGGAGATGTTTGCTCGGTGGCAGAAAGACATACACTACACCAAAAAAACGTGGGTTTTCCCATTCACGACGAAGCCAGTGCTCCAATATTCCACCATTCACACCAGGTTTTCCCATTCACTAATGTGCTATACCGTCGTCATGCCGTAGATGTTTGGAGTGGCGCGATGTTGTTTGGACGGATCAAATATTCGGCACAGCCAGGCACGCGTTCAGTTTTGCTATTGATGTGGTTTTTGGAACAGCATCGCTCGCTCCGTTTGGACTGCTGGGAGTGATCGTGAATGGCCACCTTAATAGATTCATCATTAACAGTCACCTTGGACTATCAAATCCACTATGTGGACTATCTTATGTGTATATTCTTTTCTGGGTCTTCTTATGCCTCAACTAAACAACTGTTGCCTTCCAATTCATCTAATTCACCTAATAGAAGATTCGTTATCTTGTTTGTTGACCCTCCCACACGTGATAAATTAAAATACATAGATATAATATTTACACATTTTCATAATTCACATTCATACTAATTTACTAACCTACACTACAACTAAATTGGAGGTCGGAAGATTATCATCATCTCCTTTCTTTCACACTAATAAATATGTTCAAACGGTATTTACAAATTCCACTCATACACTAAACTCTCCTAATCGAAATTGTTTGACGGGCCTGTGGAGTACTCGACATTCCTCGACAGCCACGTCCTTTCACGCAACACCACTCATGCTAATAAATGCATTCGTTCTGGACAGGCCACTACACTTTGGAAGTATAGTACCAACGAAATGCCAATGACCCATCCCTCACATCATACTACAAATATATATACATATTTATACTAATTTGGTGGGCGTGTGAGTACTTGATATTCCATCACACCCATGCATACTTCAACATTCACGCAAATAAATACCTTCATACAAAAAGGGAGGGATATACCATGGGTGGTGGGTTATACATAGCCATATGCATTGATTAATTTTAGGTATCAATGACCTTTCGTTTATAATCATTGTTGTGCTTAAGTCCTTTTGTTAGGTCATTGGGAAGGCTCCACCGTGCTCTGTGCGGCACTAGTTGTTCGTATTCTTCTAAAATATGTCTTACTGTTACAGTTGCGCCGTACATGGGGCATTTCCTTGGTCTCTTGCCAATGAGATGTCCATGTGTTAGGCGGGTAAGGCCTATCCTTAATTGTGTAAGTACAATTCTTTCTTTCTTTCTGAAAATTTCAGGAACCCAAGGTTTGTCGGTTTTATCAACTTTAGTTTTTCATTCAGGGCGTTCCATCTGTTTTGCCATTCATTCCAGCTTAATTGTTTCAAGGAATTTTTAATATCTGCCAGACTAACCAGAGTGTCCGGGTCGTGCGGCATTTTCGATGCTTCTTTTGCCACTTTGTCGACCTCTTCATTTCCTTTAAGGCCGACGTGACTCAGAACCCAGAGGAGGATAATTTCGCACTCATTTTGTGCTAATATATTCAAGTTTTCATACACTGTTCGCACCAATGGGTCCACAGAAGAGTTTTTTGTATGGCTGAAACTGCACTTAAGGAATCTGTGCAGATTACGAATTTTTTATCCGGCAGATTAATATCTTGTCTTAGTGCAGATAATACAGCGGTCATTTCTGCTGTGTATATGCTGGCCGTACTCGGGAGAGTGATCTGTATGCTGCGTTCCTGTATATAAATCCCGCAGCCGACCCCATCGGCGCTTTTCGATCCGTCAGTAAATATAAAAAGTGCACCACAAAATTCTTCTTTTAAAGATGAGAACATTGATTATACATAGTTATAAAATAATTAATTGTAAGAAAGCAAAATGGTACACATAACGATAACTTAAAAGATTGTGGGACATTTGTTTTTTTTATATTTTCTCTTTTAATTTTTTTTTTTTTTTTTGAGTGGGGGGACGAAATATAGTTTATTATGTAAATATAGGACTGTAAACTTTATCAAATATTCTTGATTACCTGAATATATATTCTGTATGACTTTATCGACTGCTCCAGTCATGACATTGACCAAGGTGAGAGAGTCCTTCGAGCCGACGGCAATGACTTGGCCGTCAGGTGAAAGGGCTATTGACGCTTTGGTTGAGTCATCGCATTTTATTTTCCCAGACTTTATTAATTTAGGCTCCTCGCCCTGGTTGTACTCGACTGTAATTAATATATTTTTAAAGCTTTTGTTCTTTTCATTGATGCCGACTCAAAAGGGCAAATTACCTTTTATGTTGAAAAGCCTCCAGCAGCCGTGTTTTGATATCGTGGCGACCTGGGTGGAGTCGGCGTTGAAGGAAAAGTCAAACACGCCGGATTCATGCCCCTTGAGCTGAAGAACGGGGTTCACCTGCTTGAATTCACCGGTTTTTTGGAAGCAAACCTCCCAAAGTTTGACATCTGGAGCAAATCCTAGACGGAAGAAACTATTATAATTTGTTATATTTAAAAGAAATAGATTTGATGAAATTCTTTCTATGAAATAACTTCATTAATAATGATTACTTCTCACAGTTCATTCTTGCCTGAGTGAATTTTGACTTATCTTCAAAAGGTCACAGAATCATTAATTTTGTTTAAACTAAGTATTTTTCATACATGTAAAAACATACTTCAAATATTAAGAGCGATTTATAAATATACCTGAGACGGCTATGAAGTTTCCACATGGTGACACTTTTCCAGTGTAGTTGTTGATTAAGTATGAATCGAATCGATGAAGCTCATTGCCTTTCAAGTCCCAGACTGCGATTTCAGTCGCTGACGAGCAGGTCATCATGAACTTCCCGCTCACAGAAATGCCCAGTCCTATCACATCATCTTTATGAGCCTGAAACGACAATTTTTTTTTGTTTAAACCGTACGATTTAAATATCGTATGACCTGACCTTCGGGAAGGAAGTCGATTTTGTCACGCTCAACACCTTGCCATCAGGTTTCTTCTGTATTTTACAAACATCCAGTTGATTGTCTGTCGCCCTGTTGTAGACAAATGCCTTCGAATCCGGGCTCCAGCGTATCACAGAAGCATGGTCGTACTCGACATTATACCTGACGTTCTGATGCGTTTTGTCTTTCCAACTTTTAGTCGTCCATATGAAAATTGTCCTATCTATAAAATATATTTATAAAATGCTTCGAAAATCTGTATGACTTGCACGGTACCACTTTTGTCGAGTGTTTCATCAAGCTTGTTTTAAAAAGATTACACTGTTTTTTCTTTAAAAAAAAGGGCCTATTTATTATTGCCGAAGATAAAATAAAAAATATTGTTGAATTAGCTTTTAATAATGTGACATCATAGACCATATATCATATTTATCCTAATAGTAAAAATAATGTTAAAACAGAAGTTTTATTTATAGACTTAGTTCATAATTTAACATATCAATAAAGGTTTGAACATTTTAACTTTACTGATTTCTTTTAATACAGACAAAACCTAAGCATAGCATAAGTTTAAAACGTATGCATAACCAAAAGCCACTAAATATGGCATCCGGGCATGCAAATCCTTAAATATTTTCACATAATTGGACTTTCCTTTAAAGACGTATGCTGATCCTAGGAGCATAAACCTCAGGGAGTTATGCAGCTGGTCACTAGTCTCTCCCTTCAGCAAAATGCTTTGTCACTTCCAACCAACGGCGTTTCAGGGGCTTTCGACTAGGTTATTTCAGCTCACAATACATGCAAAATCTAATCTAAACTAAAACTAGCATCTTATTCAATCGCACCAATAAATACATTCACACCTATATTGCATTTATTCCAGAGAGTCGGTGTAATCGATATTCCTCCGATGACCTACACACAATAAAAATAAGCTAACCTAAATTAGAGACGATTAGTACTTTCATAAATATTCCATCGACACTAAACGCATAAACTGCTGAGGGCAATTATGATGCTACATTTCACCTCAGACCCTAAAGACACACTAATATATACACATACACTAACAATACGTACAATAAAAAAACCCACGTCCCCTAAAAAGCAGAATAGGGGTCTCAGAAATTCGCTGCTTTGCCTGAGAACCATTCTTAAATCCAGTGGCATGCTTACACGCTCCCTGCAGTCCAAGACATGACAAGCTTGTGCGGGTCACATCAAGCAACCTTTTCTGAATAAGTGGCAAATGAAAGGACTTTGCTTGTCTTTAAAGAAATCTTAAAGGAGCATCGGTGGCGTTGACCCAGCGCTCATCATTGTAAGGTAATGGTCTCGGTTTGAATCCAGCGGCTCGGCATTCAAACCCGACATACTTACAAATGTGCTTTTTTTCAAAACCACTGGCACCATGAGGGTTCATATAACCTCGTAGTTGAATTTGTAATTGTTCAATCATCAATTCAACTCCTTTGGAAAAACAATGTATGACCTTGCACTGCAAGCTTTTACACATCTTTTTATTATGTTTATTAAGGTAAATATTTTTATTAAACATAAAATTGGACAAATTAGTCTAGCGGTGAAAATAAGTCCAATTGTAAACTGGTTTAATTTGACATCAGATTGTTTTATTCAACCAATAACAAATTTTTCTGAGAAATGTTTACAATATATCTGTTTACACAAAATTCTTGTTAATTTTGCACATCATGCATTTTCTTTGTGATCTAAGATAATCAATACATCCAATATTTTATCATTTTAGTCTATTTTGACCAGCGAGATTATAAATTTCCAAATGAAAGTCCTTGGAAGCTCAAAGATAGAGTTCTAATTGCTCAAATTGATTTTTTTTCTCTCTTAAATTAAATTCGATATCAATTAACAATAAAAAAAAAAACTTTTCATCTGCGTTGAATGGCTTGTTTATGACCACACTGCCAACTGGATATTGTCCAAAATTTATTTTTGAAAGCTACAATAAAAATATTTTGCCTACTTTTCAAATGCCCAGTGTTTATGCCATATGTGAAAAATTAATTATGAAAAATATGATGGTAAATAAAATAACAAAATTGACGTTTTATCTGTATTACAAATTCCTTATATAGGCATTTTCTGATTAGTGTAATTAAATGTCGAAACCTTTTTATCTCTTTATATTTTCTCTCTTTTCGAGAGATTGACAGGTCAACATCAAAGCCTTGAACCTTTTTTTTTTTTTTTTAAATTCTTATATTTATTTTAACATAAAAGGATATGGTACTACTAATCAAAATCACAATAATTTAAAAAAATTGTTTATTCATTCAATTTTTTTTTTTTTAATCGGTGAACAATTTAAATTGTTAATTGTGAAATTTTGTCTTAATATCCATTATGCTACGATATACATAAATTTTTCTTTCATTTTTTAACTACACTTCATATAAAGTTTGTTACTCATGAAAACCAACATGACAACTACACATTTTTATAGTTTATTTTATTTTTAGTGTCAATATGTTGGATATTGTTTGGGTTTGGGGGCACCCACACTTTCACAGAAGCGATGATGAAAATTTAATTTATTTTTTGAGCCATCATACCAAAAATGCTGCAAATATTCAGTAAGAGCTTGTTTTATTCTAACAAGCTTATTTGCATAACTAAATATAATATTATAATTGAGGAAAGGAAAGGTATGGTTGTAAATATTTCAAACTGTACCACATTTACGGTAATTATAAGCTGCTTTTATCGTCGAACGTCTGGTTGAATATTCTGCGCCTCGCTGACTGCAAGAACCTTTTAAGTTATGGACAAACTGGCCAGTATGTTAGAAATTTAAATATTCTTTGAACGCCTTGTCTGTTGTACTTGTCTGTTAAGTACAGTTCATGTTTCAACATTTAAACTTTTTTAAAATTTTTTTAAAATTTAAATAAAGAAAATATCCCGGACACAAACCGGATTTCAGTATGTGTCCTGGTATTTCGATGGTTTAAGGGATATGATATTTTTGTCAAATTTCCAACATGTAAATAATTTCTCACTTTGCACTTGTTTAGAAACGAAATGGATTCATTTGGGTTGAAATAAAAAAAATATATATAATTTAAAAAATGAATTTTAATAAATATTGTATGAATATGATTGTTAGATGATGAGTTTGGATGAAATAAAATTCAAATGGTGGAACACGACTATATTTTTAAAGTACAAAAACTATGACTAAAGCGTTTTTCCGCAGTTTTTTTTTTCTTGTTTTTATTTAATTAAAAATGACTCGATCACTTATCACAAACCTCACTATCTCCGATTCCTTTATTCCTTCACAAATTTTTAAATCATTTTTTCTTTCATTTTATACTTTTTAAACTGAAAAAGCAGTCTTTTAATTTTTAGGAACTAATACACCGAGAGTTCATCGGTATTCGTTTATTGGAGATTGAGATCATTATCGAAATTCTTGCTGCTCACCCTGTCTTTTCTTAACTTCCACAAAAGGAGTTCAAGACAGCTTCTTGCATCTTCAATAGAATCGTGTCCTGTATTGTCACATTGAATGTCTCTTTTCAAAACCGAGTGGACCAATGATTTGAGCGATCTTTTATAAGGCAGTCCATAGTAGTGCGGAAACACAATCGAAGTATCGATGACCGTCGTGTGAATCATCTTCAACGCTCGCAGGTCATTTTCTAAGCCGTGCCCGACAAGGATTGTATCCGCCGAAATGAAGCCCATCAAGTCACTCTGCACGTCTTTCAAAAGTTTGGTCCGCTTGGCCATGTCCTTTGCAGTGACCCCGGAAAACCTTGTATTGTAGTCGATAATACTGCTTTCCGGCTTGACGAGCGTATCGTAGATAAGCCTCCCGTCATGAGTGACCACGCTGATTTTTGTCAACTCCAGTCCTGAAGTCGTGTAACACATTTCGCAATCAAGCGCGTACACTTTATAGTTTCCGTCAGGAGGAGGGGTCTTCTTAGTCCTTGTTCTGACGTAGCCGTCATAAGGCCCGTTCCAACCGTCGTTCAATCCGTTCCAGACATGAAGCTTACCAGTGGTGCAACCCTTGGTATTCTTCCTTCCTTTGCAACAGGTATAATGAGATTCTCCTCCTCCGGATAAAGGTCTCTGAAGTTTGCCCCAATGGTAGAGGCAGTGCTCCTGTGTCAGATATTCTCCTTCAGGAGAAATAAAAAACGTCTTTGAACACCTAACACACTTCTTTTCTGAACTTTTGTCCGAGTCGGGATTTTTCAAGTGGACGCCGGATTCGGTCCTCCTCTCGAATGTGCTCCCTCCGTTGTGCACGAGGAGATCCACATAGACCTCGTTTGGGACGAACAACTTCGCGTTCACATCAAATCTCTTCACGGGGTTCTTGAATATCAACGCCCTACCTGGGTAGAGCCTGTTCTCGATCGGATACCCCAAGAGGAACAAGTCCTCAGGGCTAAGGGTATACCCCCTGAGAGAATCGAATATTTCCGCATCTGACAGGTTGAGTTTGGTATACTGGCGAAGCACCGCATGGCGTTTCTTTTGCTTCTTCTTTCCCGTCGGAGGTGAACCGTTTCTAACTTTGTTCTTCTTTTGCCTTCGGCTCAGCTGAGTCCTGCTTCCTGGGCTGGCATTCTCCTTATTACCTTCACTTCCGCTCGAACTCGCTCCACCTCCGTCATCTGCAGCCAAGGAATAATTTTCTTCATTTTTTTCTATTGGTTAGACAGAAAATAATAAAATAAAATAAAAAACAACAAAGACAAACCCTTTCCCATTGTATAAAATGATTTTCTATCTTTCTTATATCTAACATCAACTCGCTATAATATTTCTTTTGTTTTTGTTTTTATAAGTGCATTAAAAAAACAATTACAAAAAATCAAACAAAAGCATTGCAAGAAATTATTTACATGTGCTACAATACTTTTTCTAAGATGAATGTTAGCAAAGGAATCTTGGAAAGGTTCAAGGGCATTAAATCAAAATTTGATAAAATATTATCCACAACACCCAGCTGAGAAGTTAAACATTTCATGCTTCAAATCCCTGCCTTTTCCATCTCCTCAGGGTCTTCGTTGGATTTTTCACCATCTGTCCGTGTGGTTTAAAACTTACCAACGTTAAACATCTCTGTTAATGCGTTAAACTTGATTACACAAGCATTCTGTATTAATTGGTTAGGCATGTTTTTTTACAAATTATCAATATAAAAAACATTAAATGTTTTATTACTAGTATGTCTTCCTTTGTTTTTATGCTTGAATTACTTATTAAACCTTAAAATTATGTTAATGTTAAAATTAATGAAATAATATAAAGAAGCATAGAAAATTTTTATTTAAAAATGTTAAAAGTCTATTATTGTTATTACATTTGCTTTTTTGTTAATTATTATTACAAATAAGTGCAAATTAAAAATTAAGGATTGCAAAATTGTCAGCTGATTTATAAAATCCAGTATTAATTAAGATAGCATATCGTTGCTTTCATTTTTTTTTTTTTTTTTTTTTTTTTAATTCTCCCCAAGTGGCATAAGACCGGACGACAACACATCCGACCTTAAGAGCCAAGAAAGATAAATATAGTATATGCTACACTCGGTGAATTGTAATAATCCCGGGCAGACAGCCGGCAGATGTCACCGTTTAAAAGGCCTGTGACAGGCCTCACAAATTTTATGCTGACATTTATTTGCCTGGGTGTTAAAGTTTGGAGAAAAGATTTGGTAGGAAAATCTGTTAGTAAATGAAGGTGATTATTATTTTATAAAAAGCATAAACAAAAAAGTTGTAAAACTTAAAAAAAAGGCTATTCATTTGTACTTCTATAAAGTGCTTCATACTAGTCTTTGACATCTGATCCTGTCATTAAAGAAAGTTAAAAAAAAAAAATTAAAAAAATACCAATTATTACTCTTAAATTACAGCTCATCGAACCAAAGGTTCACCAAACTTTGATCATCAAGGTCAAATATAAACCAAAAGACTACCAATTTGGCAAATAACAATAGAAACTTTATATAATGGATGAACTGTTCTGAACGTTCTTAACTAGAAAAATGAACAGAATATCCAGTCCAATTTGATTCATTGATCCTACTTGATGTCTGACTTTGTCACATTCCTAAAAACAGTAAATAAATGGTCAATGACTTATGACGGTTCATTAACCCAGCCAAACTTTGACCAAATACAGTGGTGTTTTTTGTCATGACCAGAAACGTTTTTGGCCAAAACAAACAAAAAACGGTCTGATCTGATCAATTGGTCCGAATAGTCTCAATGTCTGACCTTGTCACATTATTAAAAGAGAATACATGTCAGTGTCTCTTAATGACAGTTCTTCGACCCTAAAGATCGAGTTAAAAACAAATAAAAAGCACTTTCAAGATCCGGCCACAAATTTTGACCAAGGAAAAAAGAGCCAAGAAAATTTTTTGTCATTCCAAATTCTACTGTTTTTCTCTCATGACGACCAGAAACGGATGAACTTCGTTTTGGACCAAAAAAAAAAAAAAGAAAAAAATCTAATCGCTGGGTCCACTTGTCTCAGTGACTGACCTTGGCAAAATGATTAAAAACAAATGGTCTGTGACTTTAATGACAGTTCGCTGACCCTAAAGTTCCAGCCAAACTTTGACCTAGGAAAAAATAGTCCAGAAAAATTGTCGTTTCAAATTACATTAAATTAAAAAATTTGAGTCGGTTTTTTATCATGATGACCAGAAAGGTATGAAATACGTTTTTGACCAAAATCTAAAAAACAGTGACTATGCTCGATAGATCATCGTTGATGATCATGATTTTTAATAAATTCGTAAATGGCATATGATCGAAAAAACGAGAAGGTGGAAGCGAAATAAATAGGTCAAACATCGCAAAACAAATGATAAAAAAGCAGGACAGGGTCAAGGATGGTTTGTATTCGATGGAATTTCATCAGGGAAAAAACATAAACAAGTAAAAAAAAAAAATCTCCAACTCTGTGAAATGTAGGGCACGAACAATTTGCCAAAGGTGAAATTCTAAGAAACACTACCAACGATTACTCAAAACGCCCGACGTAAATTTACGTATGATGAAATATCAAATCACAAGGTGGTAATTCCTTTAAACAAATTATTCAATTTTGTTCAAATTAAAAATACAAATAGGGCGAAGGTTGGCAGACAAAAATTCAAAGAATTTGATGAATCAACAAACGCGTCAAATTGTCAATTAAGGCGTATTTAAACTCGTCCAAGGACAGGATGAGATCATTTTGCTAAATGTCAAATTCGTGCCAGTTAAGCGTAAAAACAAAAACAAAAATCAGCGGTGAAAATGAAATTTACAGAAAGTTGCAGTGGCATAGGAGAAAGTTGAAAAACGAGACCCGGACAAAGAAGATTTTGCCAAAGGTCAATCGATGGCATATTAGAAGAAAATTAAATGGCCTGGAACATTTACAATGTAAGAATGAGCAAGAAGAAAAACAAAACAATCCATTTTTTCTATAGAAATCGCAAATTAAACTACAATAAAAGCACAAAACATAACACAAAATACATGGTGTGAAAAACCAGAAAAACAGAGGTCACATAATAAAGTATTTTGAAAAAACGCCCACTGATTCTTTACAAACAAGCATTAAAAACACAAAAACACGACTTATTGCATTTTATAAACAGGGTAACGTCCATAAAACAGAATCGGGAGTTCAATGGATAAAGGTCATATGATGAAATTTACACGTCATATTCAAACGAAACAATAAAAAAACAAGGTCATTTATTTTTTCTGAAGGCATAAAATTAAACAAAGAACTGAAAGACGGGCCAAGTTCACCTAAGAAGTTCAACGTACAAATGATGAAATTACACGTTATATTCCAAACAAATTAAAAAAAAAAATCTAAAGGCCAAGCAATAAAGTTCGTTTATTTGAAGGCATAAACTAGGAATATCAAGAAATTTACAAATAAACACCAAGAATTGGAAGAACAGGGGGCAACAACATCCAAGAGTTGAACGCACCCCAAAGCAAAATGATGAAATTTTACATCATATTAAAAAAAACCTGAACGGAGAAATAATTTCACAGAAATTTATATTAACAACAGGAAGAAAATATGAAGGGGTACACAAGAGATATTATCATTTTTTCCTAAACTTCGCAGCCCTTTTTAACTTTTCAATCAAATGAAAAAAAACCTGAACAAGTAAATAATTTTAAAAAAATGTTATTCATAACAGAACGAAAATCAAAAGGGGTACGCAAGAGAAGTATTATTTTTTTTTTTTTTTTAACTTCGCGACCTTTTTAACTATTACATAACATAAAAAAATGAAACAAAACCTGAACAAGTAAATAACTTTAAAAAAACTTGTTATTAACAAGAGGAAGAAAATCTGAAGGGGTACACAAGAAATATTATAATTTTTTCCTAAACTTCACAGCCTTTTTAACTTTTACAACATTAAAAAATTAAACAAAACCTGAACAGGTAACTAATTAAAACAAATGTTATTCATAGCAGAACGAAAATGAAAAGGGGTACGCATGAGATGGTATTATTTTTTTTTTTTTAAACTTCGCGGCCTTTTTAACTTTTACAACATTAAAAAATTAAACAAAACCTGAACAAGTATATAATTTAAAAAACTTGTTATTAACAAGAGGAAGAAAATCTGAAGGAGGTACATAAAATTTTTTTTAAATTTAGCAGCCTTTTTAACTTTTATTGGGTTGTCCGGAAAATAATGCAGGATTTTAAGTTTTCATTAAAAAAAATCTATATAAAATATTCTGTTTACGTTTACAGGATTACTCATTTGTATGAATGTCAACACTTATTAATCCTCTTCCAAATGATATTGTTTGTTTACCTCTGTAGCATTCCGCTACTTGGAAATAATTCAGTCATCCTTATAATGTCAAAGCGAGAATTTCGTACGATTTTCTTTTACGAGTTTAAACTCGGCCGAAGCGGAGCCCAAACGGCTAGAAACATTAACCAAGTCTGGGGCGAGGGTTGTGTTAATGAGTGCACTGTGCAAAGGTGGTTTAAAAAATTTCGGGAGGGAGATTTCAGCCTTGAAGATGAAGAAGGTCGTGGAAGGCCTTCCTCTCTTAATGATGATGTTCTGCGATCAGTGGTGGAAGAAAACCCCAAAACAACTGTTCGAGAACTTGCAGAGCAACTCAAAGTCAGTAAAACGACCGTCGCTGACCACCTCAAGGCGATTGGAAAAGTGAAAAAACTCGAAAATTGGGTTCCACACTCATTAAACGATCGCCAAAAAAATCAGCGCTTTGATGTTTGTGCATCACTTCTTTGTCGAAACAAAAATGACCCATTTCTGGCCAGAATTGTTACATGTGACGAAAAGTGGATTCTCTACGATAACACTAGACGTTCTGGACAGTGGCTCGACAAAGGAGAAGCTCCAATACATTTTCCAAAGCCCCCAACTCATCAAAAAAAGGTAATGGTTACGGTATGGTGGGCTTCATTTGGTTTAATACACTACAGCTTCTTAAATCCTGGCGAAACCATCAATGCTGAATCATACTGTAACCAAATTAATACCATGCATCAGAAATTGGCAGTAATGAAGCCCTCTTTGGTCAATCGGAAAGGGCCCATTTTGTTGCATGACAACGCTCGACCACATGTGTCACGTGTAACGTCACAAAAATTATTGGAGCTTGGCTATGAAACTTTGCCTCACCCACCCTACTCTCCGGACCTCTCGCCTACTGACTACCATTTTTTTAGACACCTGGACCACTACTTACAACACATAATATTCAAAAATCAAACGGAACTGGAAAATGCATTTATTGACTTTATCAATTCTAAAAATTCTGAATTCTACTCAGACGGAATTAATAAGTTACCAACACGTTGGGAGAAATGTATTGAGAGTATGGGAAATTATTTTGATTAAAGAACATTGCTTTAAAGTAACTAGTTTCTTTTTTTTTGTTTAATACCAAAATCCTGCATTATTTTCCGGACAACCCAATACATCGTATTAAAAAATTAAATAAAACCTGAACAGGTTACTAATTTTTAAAAAATAATTTAATTGTATGATAATAATGTTTTTCTTTTCGCAGCCTTTTTAACTTTTACATTTTAAAACTCTAAAAATGCCTTGGAAAATACAAATAAATTTAAATAAATACAACAAAATCCCTGATCCTATTATTAGGGTTGGGGAAGGGAAAAAAAATCACGACTGGCATTTTGAAAACACGAGCCCCAAAACAAATTGTGCGTTTCATGATTCAGAGTTCAAAAGCATGACGAAATTATTAGATCATTCTATTGATAAAACATGATTTATTGAAATGAAACTATGCAGAGGGGAAACACGTGAGTATAAACACTTTTAATTCTATGACATTTCAAAACAGTAAACAGGAAGATCAGCCTAAAGGTCAATGACACTGTATCTTCACGTGCGAAGTACTGGTACAAAGGAGGGAAAATGACCGATTAAAAAAGTATGATCAGGCATTTAGACGTCATATTCTAATAATAGGAAAATTGTGAAAAAGTTTAATACAGATGTATATAGGGCTATCGGTTTTATAGTTCAATACACTGAAAGGCTGATGTAAATGTCTATTGTTTACGTCGGTCTATTAATAGAACGGTTTGTTTTCATAATATTTTTCTTAAAACGAATATTTTTTTTGTTGGTATGTTAATTGTTTATGCAATTGGATACTGCGTTCAATACTGGGGCATGAGGTACAATGGTGCACCCATTGACGTTTATGACAGGGGCAAGCTTGACTCTCTCGACAAAAGGTGGCTTGAAAGTGATTTGTTATTGTTTACTAACCGTCGCCGCAAGTCGCGAGGAACTTGCCGTTGGCGCTGAAATCCATGTCCAAAATCGTTCCTCCGTGACCTTTGAGAGAGGTCATAAGCCAGTCGTGGCTGAAGGTGTTTTTGCCGCGCTGCCACTTGTCAGCGGATGGCTGTTTCTTCTTCGCCTTCTGCGCTTGGTTTTGCTGCTGGTGTAGCTGTTGTCCTTGGACGTCCTTCTTCCGCTCCTTCTGTACGGCCGACGTCTCATCTAAACACATCCCGCGTCGTGTCAGTTAGTTTGAAAACCCTGGGCGCAATGGGGGCACCATGGACGGGGGTCCGCTTAAGAGTTGCAATCGCCCTGTGTGGTGGGAGGGAGGTCGGCTGACTCACCGATTCTGATTCAGGGAAATACCGAGATAAAGAAAAAGGTAGGTCACGCTGTCCGTAAAGCGTAGTTGTGACTAATGACCGTCGACCACGTGGTTTCTACTTGTCAGCTCGGATCGAAGAAGGGGCTCTGGGGAGAAGGGGTACCGTGGTGGGGCCCGTTTCCCCCGTACACCACAGCTCAGGGAAAACCTCTCCAATATTAATAGCTTCTCGATATAAAAATAAAACTCGTCTCTTTTTATTCTCTCTCTCTTACAATAATCTGCTCAAAACAAACGTTCCCGCAGTTCCGGACGCGCCGCACTTCCATCTCGACCCAAGTCCTTCAAGGTCTGTCTCTTCATTCATAAAAAAACTATCTTCTCACATTTCCATTCTTTCTTCCCTGTATACAAATTGGACAAAACAATCAAATATCTTACTACGACCCCAAAACCTTAGGAACAATAACAAAACACCCAAAATTACAGACATTCTATACAAATGTAAGATCCCACATTCAGCTGGGCAACAATCAAAACATTTACTACATTAATGTTTCAAGAATGGATAAAAGGAAACAAAAATAAACGACATTGATACACATTTCAGCAAGTGGCAGTATTCCAAATAAGAATACTTATCTAATAAAAAGAATTTCTTTTCTGCCCATCGGTTCTTTATTACAACATAGCACCAATTGTTTTTTAAATTGTCGGAGATGATTACCAAATACCGATAAAAAAAAAGTTAAACGACGTGAAAATAACTAATAAGTTTTCTTTTAAAAATCCTATGCTTCTAGTACTATACGAAATTTCCCTTTGCCAGATTAACCAGGCAAAGTATTTTGTTTTTTTTACTTTTAAAATACTTGTCCAAAAAAAAGTGTATTTTTCTATCTTACAACTTTACTTCGTTCCAAAAGATTACTAAAAATAGGCAAAAAAATCATAAAGCAAAACAACTTGCAAACAATCAATTTGTTTTGCCCCCCCCCCCCGATTATTCTTCAAAAACATATTTCTAGAATGCTGATGGTTATTTAGTGCGTACTTATCAAATAAAAATTTTTTTTTAACTTTCTTACAACGTTGCTTGGTTAGACATGATTACTAAAACTTGGCAAAAAATTTTTTAGAAAAAAGACTAAAATGACCGACGACTCCGGTACTTTTGTAAAAATTAAACATTCTAGAATGCTGATGGTTGTTTAGTGCAAACTCAGCTAATAAAAAAACATTTCTTTTTTATCTTTCTTACAACGATGCTTGGTTAAAAATTCTTTAAAAAAACGACTTTAAAATGGTCGACAATTCATTATTTTTCTAAAAATTAAAAATTTTGGAATGCTGATGGTTGTTTAATGCGTACTCATCTAGTAAAAAAATTTCTTTTTTATCTTTCTTACAACGTTGCTTGTTTAGAAATGATTACTAAAACTTGGCATAAAATTCTTTAGAAAAAAACGACTTTAAAATAACCGATGACTCCAATATTTTTCTAAAAATTAAATATTCTAGAGTACTGATGATTGTGTAGTGCTTACTCATCTAATAAAAAGAATTCTTTTTATTTTTCCTACCATGTTGCTTGGATAGAACTGATTACTAAAACTTGGCATAAAATTGTTTAGAAAAAACGACTTTAAAATAACCGATAACTCCAGTATTTTTCTAAAAATTAAATAATCTAGAATGCTGATGGTTGTGTAGTGCTTACTCATCTAATAAAAAAAAATTCTTTATTCTCTTTCTTATAACGTTGCTTGGTTAGAAATGATTACTAAAACTTGGCATAAAATCCTTTAGAAAAACGACTTTAAAATGACCTACGACTACAGTATTTTCTCTAAAAATTAAAAATTGTAGAATGCTGACGGTTGTTTAGTGCGTACTTTATCTAATAAAAAAGCATTTCTATTCTTCTTCCTAGTTGGAAATTATTACTAAACAAAAGCAGAAAAATCTTTACACAAAATGCCGTGAAAATAACAGATCCCTTCAATATTTTTCTAAAAATTAAAAATTCTTGAATGTTGATGGTTCTAAGTACTCAGTGCGTACTTATCTAATAACGATTTTTCTATCTTTCTAAATTTGAAACGATTACTAAATATTGGTTAAAAAAATGTTTCGAAAAATCGACGTGGAAATAAACGATTACTCCAGTATTCTAAAATGCCGATAAGAGTTTAGTATGTACTTATCTAATAAAAAGCTTTTTTTATACCTTTCTAAAAACATTACTTGGTTCGAAATGATTACTAAAAATTAGCACAAAAAAATTCTTTAGAAAAAGCGACGTTACAATATCCGATTACTCCAGTATTCTTCAAAAATTTAAAAATTCTAAGGTTTGTAAGTGCTTATCTAATAAAAACCATTGCTTTTATATTTTCCAAAAAACGTTACTTTGTTCGAAATCATTACTAAAATTTGGCAAAAGCAATGTTAAAGAAAACCAAGTGAAATTATCCGATCACTTGAGTTTTCTTTAAAAAATTAAAAATTCTAAAATACTAATGGTTGTATGGACTTACGGCGTACTTATCTAATAAAAACCATTCCATTTATAATTACAAAAACGTTACTTCGTTCGAAATAATAACAAAAATTTGGCCAAAACAATCTTAAAGAAAAATGACATGAAATATCCGATCACTTGAGTTATCTACAAAAAATTAAAAATTCTTAATGCTTATGGTTGTTAGTACTTAGCGCGAGCTTATCTAGGAAAAAGCATTTCTTTTCTACATTCCAACAGCATTACTCTGCTCCAAGTGATTACCCAATATATAAAAAATAAATAATATTTTAGAAATAAATGATTAGTTCAGAAAGTTAGTTTTTCAATTTCTCTTTGCCAGATCATTCTTTCAAATTAAAAAAAAAATCCAATCTAAACTAGAGATCCTAAAAATAAGACAGTTTGAACTTGAAAAGTAAGCATTTAATGAAAAACTTTTTAGCCTATAGGTACTTATTTGCAACATGCAAAGTTCCAAATGTATTATTATTTCCAAATAATTGCCAAATATTTAAATATAAACTTATATTTTGGAAAAACCAAGTGAAAATAAACGATTACACTAGTTTATATAAAATAATTAATAATAATTAAATATAACTTTTAAATAAATTAAAATCTATAGAAAGTTTAGTGGTATTGAAGTATATCCTGCAAAACAAGAAATTACTGACCTATTAAATAATAATTATGTTTACTTAGTAATTAATTACCAAATGTTAGAAAAATTTACCAGGGGGTAAATGATCGATTAGTCTGCTGTTCCTTTAAAAATTAAACAAAAAATTTAGAAAGTTGGCTGGCTTTGAAACAAAATTTCCCCTTGCCAACTCGTTCCGCGAAATGAGAAATTATATCAGCAAACAAGACGAAGTTTTGACTTAGTAGGATTATCAAAGGAAAAATAAAAGGTCTGAAGTTTTGAAGGGAAAGATAACGAAAGTTGAAAGATTGGGATTTCCTTATCTAATTAAGCCTGCCTATTTAAAGAACCTGAAGCCGAGACTTTCACGGTACTTTTCCGTTTTATTGCTAATTTCCCCTTCTATTCGATTGCCATTTACTTCGAATTATGTTCAATAGCTTTCATAATTTGCGTTGGAGCGATAAGAACATTATATTTCTTATCTTAATGATATGTTTATGGGTCAGATTTCTTATCGTTCTCTATCCCGGCTTCCACTCTTTTGCCTAGTTTTTAATCTCCTTGAAAGCAAATATTTTTTTTCAAAAGGACGGTTAATGGACCTGTAATTTTCCCGGTTATGTTTTGATAATGGACGGCTTCGAACAACAGCGCCCTGGGAAATGGGGCATAAATTCCCTCCGAAAAAGTCTTATTATCCAGGATTAGACCGTGTCGACAACGGGTCAGCCGGCACAGGCTAAGCAGAAGAACCGTTGCAGAATAACGGAAGAAAATCGACTCGGATCCGGCCGCATAATGTCGCAGGGTCGGATGAACGGCATCGGCCGCCGGTAAATCACAGCGAGACAAGTCATAAAATCCTAGATATAAAAAAAGAACTATTCGAGTAATAAAAATTCATAAAAAAACCTTATTACCTCCTCAAAAAAATTCAACTGACAAAATTTGAATTGATCAATTTTTTCAGATTTCGTACCGGAGCCTGCTGGGTAGTGAAAGCGTTTCGTTATACTATCCCAAGCGGCGAGTCTGTCGCCACTCCCTGCTTATATCCCTGATAAACACTACAGATAGCGGGAAGGCGAACGCATCTGACACAACAAAACAGCGAAATCGAGCAGATCAAAATATTTGGAAACGAACCAAATGATCGCTTTACAATATTCAGCATTGTATACGACAAAATATCTAAATTAAATTTATTCTTTTTTCATATCGATAAATATGTCAAAACATAAAAAAAAATTCTCAAGCCTCAACAATGAACAACTGCTAATGAAGCTTATTGAACAATGTTAAACCTTGTCTTAAACTTTCTCATTTCAAGGTGGAGAAAGTAAGAAGAAGATTTTCCGATTTGATGATTTTACATTTACAGGACTGTAGATTGGTAAATGTGCACGGTGAAGCAGACACAGATACGGCGATGACAGACGGACCCATGGTTAAACACTTTATTTCATCGTAATCCCCGGGTTTTTCGACGACTATGAACTGTTTCGTATCAACCGAGAAAAATATGTCGACAAATTTAAAACGAATGTCAATTGCTTTTGAGAAAGCCTTCAAAAATCTTCTATTTTGGTTGGACGTCGAACGTCGGAACTGGCTTTTTTCCAGGGGTTTCTCCCAAGGGCGCGATTTTATCACCAAGGATTGTTTTTAAAAATGATGATTTATTTGGCTTTTTTGACATTTTCTGTCAAAAATGGGGGAGGAATCTATAAGTTTACTTGAGAAAATTTAAGGAAAAGGCAGGTTGAAAATAACACTAATTTTATTTAATTATAGCTCTTTGAACTTTAGGTCTCATTTGAACCGTAGTTTATCGATACATGAAAGTTTATTTGTACTAGATTCTTTTTAGTAAAGTTCAATTTTTTATGGCCTAAGTAAACGATTTATTTCAGATACGACACATCGTCCTTTAACTATGGAAAAAATAAGGAAATGTTTTAAAAAGTATGCAACCTAAGATTCCTATGATGACTTGGAGAATATATTCACAAAAATTAAGAAAAAAAAGATCAACAGTCTTTCCTTATTTCGTCCTTGAGCCGAGGATAATTAAGGATTGGCCGAAAAAACACACACAAAAAACTCAGATCATAAGTGCAAGGATTATGCAGATAACACCTTGAAAGGAATTAAAAGCGTCTTTATTCGTTTTGCA